GACCGGCGTGAGCGGGGTTACCCTCCTCCGGGTCCATCTGTGCTCGCAGTTAACTGACTGGCAGTCGCAGCCAGATCAAAGACTCTCAGACTGGAGTCGTGTCAGTTTGCCCACTGCTGCAGACGCTGCAGGCTCCTCTCTGACAGCTGCTTGTCATGTCTCTGATCCCCTGTCACCAGGGGGAGGGAGGAGGGAGGACGGAGTGTCAGGGTAGGATAAAAAGTCAGTGGTGAAGCTTGTTTGGAAAGTTTGTTTGTTGTTCAGTTTTCATGTGACTGCTTTAGGATTGAGATCCCTAAATGTTTGGGTTCTGTGAACAGGTCACGGCCAGTTGTTGTTTTCATCCCACTGTGTTGATGCTGCTGATGTCCATATATTAGCATCAGTCAGAGGGACATGGATGAGATCATTAAAGACAGACCTGCCAAAGGCATGCTGGGTAAAGGAAGCCCCTAATTATGTTTTACTCTCCGACTAAACACACATGCAGCGATAATTCAGAAGATTGATTTACTGTTTGTGTAACGGAGATGTGCCATGAATTACAATGTGATTTATCACCAAGGCTGTAAGAATGGAGCTTTTCTTCTTTTTCAAGGATGGAAATATTGATGAAATGAGTAATTTGTTAGCACTGAAAACACTGGGAGAAGAGGATCGAGGAGATGGCAGAGGAAACATGAAACATCACATTATATCACAAGACTAAATGAGGGAGTGAGAGAGAGAGAGAGAGAGAGAGAGGCTTCTGAGAGTTTTCTTTTCATTCACCACAGGACAGGAACATGCATCGAGTGGTTCCCAGCGAGCCGTGTCCTGAGCTCAACTGTCCAGAGTCGGAGCAGATCACCTTGAATGACAGATGCTGTAAAGTCTGCAGAGGTAGGAGTCGTTCAACATCATTTAGAAGAAGAGAACGTCTCTGGACACATGAGGTTTATATAATATATGTGTATATATTGAAAAATAATAAACTGTATTGAATGAAAATAATTATTAATTGTCAAGCGTAAAATTGAAGTATTTATATAAAACTACTCTAGTTGCAGCCCATCTGTGGAGTCTTTGTGGTCCATTTGTTGTTTGATCCCCAGGCCAGGTTTTGGATCACTGACATACAGCAACTGCTACATCATGTCTGTGCATTTGCCAGTTTTCTAGTATGACAGTTAATGAATTAATATATTAATAAGTTAGACGTATTATTTATTTAAATTATTTTGAAGTACTTTTTGTAGATAGTATTTGTATTATAAGAAAAAGAGAATTTTTTACTGACCAAATTTAGACAAATGAAAAAAAGGTTTGTCAGTGCATAGATTCAAAAATGATTTCTTTGTACTTGTGAGTCTGATAAGTTTTTTTAAGTAAATGACAAATGTCACCTTGCCTACATAAATACAGTACCTTTATCTTTTATATCCACCTGTGTCTGTTTTAGAGTTTTTATATTAACCAAGGCAGGTGTGACTGTAAAAATGTAATAATTTAATTAAAAAAAACCCTTTTCATCCAGTAAAGACAGAGGGAAAGCTTTGTGATACTCTGACCCAATCCTTCCACACATCTATCACTCCTCTCCTCCGGGCCTTAACCTTTTCCTCCCTGCGTCTGCTGCAGGTCATGACTTCTGCTCAGAGGGCCACGGCTGTGTGGAGCACTCCGACTGTGTCAACCTGGAGGCAGGAGACTGCTGTGTGTGTAAGGACGGGTTTCGACCACTGAGAGAGGATAATGCTTACTGTGAAGGTGAGGCACGGCTCTGAATAACAATGCTTAACTTTTAGAACAGGTTTCTTTGCCCCCTGAGAGGGGGTTTGTAGTTGGTGTGTGTGTGTTGGTAAATGTGTGTGTAGAAGCTGCTGAAACCAAAGGATGAACTTTCCTGCTCTTTTCTTCCCCCTTTTTTCAAACTAAAAACTGTTAAAAGTCACTGTTGCTCTCCTGTTTGAACTCCTAACATAAACAAGATACTGTCGTACTGTTTCATACATTTCATAAATAAGTCTTATCATTAAGTCTTTAATAACAGGAGTCGTCCTTAATCAAAATAGCGACCTCTGGGAGAAATTATTAAAATGAAGTTTAGCACAACAGTGCTCAGCATTTGAAGTAAATACTGTAATTCCTAGATTAAAAAAAGCCAAATTCACAGCTAAATCATTCCCTAACCTAATGAAGTAAACGTAACCCAGCAGAAATATAATAAACCAAACACACATTGGAAAAAACCAAATGCAGCATACCATTACTGTGGTTAATCTGTACACTGGTGGATAATCCCTCACTGATGGAAGACCTTAATCCTCTCATTATTTATAGAGTGTTTTCTGACTAACGTTTCTATTCTCAGTTAGTTGATTAATTTGTGACAGAAAGTCTCGCTGGTTTACAGACCAGTCTGTGACCATATGTCGTCTCATCACCTTCATCACTAATGACCTGCACAGCATGATTACAGTTCTACATGGTTTCAGACAGAGTGTGTTTCTTTTCAAACCTGCACAGCGTGATTACAGTTTTACATGGTTTCAGACAGAGTGTGTTTCTCGTTTGAGCGATACATCGATTATCTTGCATTTTTGTGCAAACTAATAGTGTTTTAAGAAGCTGTCAGTTCAGTTCTGTTCTGTTTTTCTTTGACTGTACACTCCAAGCATCACATATTTTACACGACTTTACAGAAGGGAGCGGTAGTCTGGGTAATTAATCTTCGGGAGACTACGTGGTTGAAGATAGTATATCTTCTACAATAATAGGAAGTGATGCTGTACTCTGTAATCAGGTGGACAATAACAGTGATGCAGCCTGGGCTCCTTCAAAATATAATTCCACAAATAACAAATCCCTTTAATAATGATATACATGTATTAGTATAAATTCAATAAAAATACGTATATAAGTTAATGCATGAATTAGTCTTCACCACAGATTAATTCTGACAGCCTTTAAATTATTTTTCAAATCTCACTCGTGGTGTTGATGACCTTCCATCCTGTCTCAGCTCATTGGTTCTCTCCCACTTCTCTCATCAACCGATTTTTGTTTTGCCAACACAACCAGTCTGTGAATAAATAGATGATAAAACAGAACTAAAATTATATTACCTAATATTGTACAGTAATAACATTCATTCTGCTTTTTTTTTTTTTTTTTTTAAGAAAGCAAAACAACCACTCCAGAGCAACACTATTACTGCTCCAGGTTTATTACAGGTATTTGTGCACACAATTTAAATGCTCCTCCACTGCTGCTTTGGGTGTGAGCAATGAAGCAAATATAATAAGAGAGTTTGGTTCCAGCCATTACGATTAATCCAAAGAATCATTTTATTATTATTATAATTATTATTATTCGAGCCCTTCATTCTTTGTTTAATTTCTTTTTTGTACTTGAAATTTGCTAGCAGCCTAAGAATAGGCACAGAGCTGCCCCTGCCTCATCACCAGAGAGGCATTTGCCTCCAACAGCAACACTTCAGAGCCAGACTTTTCATCTGAAGAGCTGCCTGACTCTTGTATGAAATTGGATAGCGGTGTTTGTTGTGTTGGCACCAGGAGCTACACAGAGAAACTTGAAATTGACTCAATTTGCTGATGGAGTTCTCGCAAAAGCAATTGATTTTCCTCCGCGTCTGTGTAACTGCACATACCGTTTATGCGTGCACGCGTTTGTCCTGCAAGAACAATGGGAGAACAGAGGATCCTGGCAGTGGATGAGCAGGTTCTCTGCTCCATATAATCTGTGAATGTCCTCTGTGGCCAATGAGATAGGAAGATAAGTAAACTTCAATGGTGAGAAGTGATTCTGAAAAAAAAAATTCTGGTCGTGGGAAGAAAAAGAAAAGGGTGAAATGATAAAATGGAACAAGTAGAGAATTGTACACCCTTGTACTTTTTAAGGCACACACATTCACACACACACACTGTGGCTGTTGTAAGACATACATCCAGAGAAAAGAGCAGATCCAGATTCCAGCGCTCTAAACCGTTCCTGGGTCAGAGATGCTCAAAATAGCAGATGAGATCACTTTTGTGTAAATTTTTTATAGGAGCAGCAGCAGCAGCAGGGAAAAACCCGGGGGGATACTTGCCCTGTCTTTGTGTGTGTGTGTGTGTGTACAGTGTGTGTGTATAGGTGCATATCTGAGTGTGTCTGAGTTCTCAGCCCACACCCTGTACTCACAACACAGTCAAGGCGACGGTGTGTTTTACCACAGTACTTGCAAATATTAAAGGTGAAGAGGACAAAGGAGGTGGAAGTGGATAATTGACAGACGCTGTGATTGTCACTGAAATGAACACTCAGAACACAGCGGGCGCAGAGATGACAACTATTGTCTGCTTTGATATAATAAAAAAAATGGCCTATTTAAAAGAATACACTGTTAGAAATGCTTTTTACACTATGTTAAAAATGGAGCAAGTTAAAAATATACACTCTTTATTTAACCAGGTAAAGTCTTACAAGAGTTTCACAAGAACGTAGCAACGCACGAAACAAGACTTGAAACAAACGACCAATGGAAATAACACCTGAAAACGAAAAATGAAAATAGTGCTCATGAAATCAGAGCTTTCAAATTTATGTTGTTATGTTGATTTTAATGGCTAAATGATGATTTGATTTTTTGGCTAAATCAGGTATGTGCTTTTATTTTACTACTATTATTTCTAATGATATCTTGATGATGATGAACACTTTACCTAACCAATATTAAATGTATCTTATAGCTTGATAAAGAACATGTGCAGCAGATGTAAAAAGTCAAGCTTATTTGATCACAGGATAGAATCAGAACAAATATCGTGTGTGTGTGTGTGTGTGAATGTGTGAACAGAGAGCAGTCCGATTTCCGACTCGTCTTCTGTCTTCTGTAATGTCACCGGGGAGCAGCAGGCTAATTGGCACTGACTGAGGAGCGAGACCTGCTCTGAAACTCAATCATTGTCAGGATGAGTCCAGAGCCTCTGGGCTCCTCACCTGCTGGAGTCCTGACCCCTCAACACACACACACACACAGAGGCAGATGGATACACACACATGCCGAATGCCTGCGTGGATGTTTACACACACCTCACCTCTGTGACCACACACTGAAATGTCACCCAAAACAGACAATTCCAGCCTCATCCGACACAGAGCTCTTTGGTGTAAACAGTATTTTTATTCTGCTCAGCCAATATTCTGTAAATGCCACATTGTTGCCCCTGTGCTCCCTCTTCCAGATGGGATCACATTTTATTCATGGACTACTTCATGCTCCAGTGGGTCGTTCTAATGTCAACCACTGGTGGAATGTTAAAGATTCCCATCCTTATGTATGGCTAAGATAAATAATGACTTACAAATGCACTTAGCCTTTCATGAGATTTAATTCACTTAACAAGACGAAAACAATACGCCTCACAACTCACTGTAGCGAGAAAACACTATATTTTCATTCAGGGTGATGAAGAAACTGCGGAGGTTAAGAGGTGGAAGATGAGTTAAAAAAAAATCCACCTCAACATCTGAGCACATCTTACGACATCACACCTTTAACATACACTGATGCAAAAATAAATAAATGACCAAATGATAAATAAGGTCTTCTGTTGTCAGCCTTGTCTCCACCTCCCTGTTGTCAGTGCAGTCTGTGACCTGTGGTCTGTAGACTGAAGAGTGAAGACTGACGCTCCACTGAAAAATACAATCCAGGCTCATTTCTGAACATGAACGCAGCCACTGTTATCTATGCGAGACATCGGGTGTCGTTCGCCCGAAGCCTAATGGACCGCATTAGTGGGACATATGTGAGACGTCCACATGTGCGCACACACACACGTGCAGCTGTAATCAGCCTTAAACGATTCTCCCTTCGTAAATGCCTTCCACGCTGGCGGAGGCTTCGTCTTTTATCACCGTGAGCTTAAACGTCGCAGGTGAACCATTCATTTTCATACGTCAGACTTTAGAATTACACATATTCCAGTCTCCATGGTTTTTGATGATCTTGGGTGGATTTCCGTCATCTCTTTTCTCAATCTGCGGTAATTGTTTTGGTTTTGTTTTTTGCATTTATTTTTACATTTTGAATTTATTCCGGAATTTGATTGCTGTCTTAAACTAAAGCTTGCTGAGTCGGCTTTTTCAAACATACCTCATATTAAAATTGCAGGATTATCTTATGCTGTACTTGCAAAAATGATTCCGACCCAGGTTAATATTTATCCCGTAACCTAAATATTACATTTAGTTTTATTATTATTTCAATATGTTTATTTAAAGAGTTTATTTTAAAAATCTATAATTTCATATTATTACAATATTTTTCATATTCTGTTCTGTTATAGTTAAATAAGTGATGTCTTGGACAACAGCCTGGAGATTAGTTATTGGTTTGTAGAACATGACAGTGATGACAGTTGATTTATATATCTGTATATATATATACAGTATATATATATATATATATCACTATAAAAATGCACTGATTTACCATCAAAATTACATAAACTAGAAAAGAGCTCATTCCTAAAAAAACTTTTTTTTATGAAAGTTCAGTTGTGAAAGTTAGGGTTCATTTACAAACCAAAGTTTTATTTTCCAGCAGCTGTTACTCCAAATTTAACCCCACGACACAGCCATAAACCGTCTGCGTTGGCTGACATCTTCCAGCAGCCGTGATGAACCAGGGCCGACAGTGGAGATTATTTGCAGAGTGGTCTATGGTTTGGCCAGAGGCGGGAAAGGCTGTTTGTCACGCT